TCGGGCATATCTAACTAAGTTATTTTTAATAGAAAAAATATAACGGCTGGTACCTGGGAAATGTTAGTTGGTTATCTTTTGCGCCCTGATAATCGTCGGGTCGTTTTTTTCTTCTTCTTGTTTTGCTGGAATACGAAACGCTCACCGTGGGACCTACAAACCGAAGGCGACCTTTGTATACTTCCGGGTTCAAAATCTCGCCGAAGACGGCATAAATTTGCTTAGTAATATATATATTCTTTCGATTATGCATTTCTTCACTAGAGTATCGATGTTTAGTCGTGGAAAATAGCATTTTAGCGCTTATTTCCGAACAAAGAAAATTGTTTACACGTGCGTCAGATCGATCGACAGCTTTACCGCCGGCAGTCTCGCGCGGTGCACGAAACAAATTTTTGCGCCGCGTTTTAGGAGATAAATGCCGGAACACGAACTTTTATTATTTCAAATATACACTTTACAAATTTTTCTTTGAAAAATAGCCAAGGAGAAATCGCGAATCTAAAAATACCGCGGATTGTCCATTTTCCCGAAACCGCGAACTTTAGGCCCCGCGAATCTAAAGAGACTCACAGTAGGTCATGAACTGATGAAGCCCCAACATTTTTCGCCATGCAGTGGCATAGTGGCATTCGTTACGTTTCGCTGCGGTGTGATGCGTTGCACGAGAAATACCCCCAAATCGTACCTATGCAGAGTTCTATATAGATGGTACTGTATGTGCAAGACAACAATTGTTGGGCTCCGCTGGACAAGAGTTAGAGTTTATTTAAAAGTTTAATAAAGAAACAAGAAAGATCATATTTGCAACGCAAACGCACAATGTTAAACTTCACATGGTCTAGGGCAACAAACTACTGCTTTTTTTATATTTATGAGTCAAGCACATTTATATTCATGTAAATATGGTAACCAGTCCCTACAACTCTGTCTTGCTTCAAAATGTAACCCGACACCACAGGGTGTCTGCTACAGCACCAGTTACCATGATGACAGATGTCTGGTCCAGGTCATTGACCTTATTTGTGTGGAGAAGAAGAGGAAGGACAAACTTACCAAAAAACAATATGATTTTCTTCTGTGAAGGTAAACATAAATTTTTGAATGTTGTGTTCTTTTGTTGATAAACTTGTAGATGTGGTGACTTGATCCTGTCAGCAAACGGCCACCTTCTGACCGCCATCTCCCACACCATGTCTGTCACCCTGCTGAAGAGACTACAGGGCAGCGTCATGCTGGCTGTGGTGTCCTGGCCGGGAACCATGCTGTAATTTACAGTGTAAACCAGCATGTCGGCTGGATGTACTGTGTCTGTGCAAAACCAGTATTGTACTGTGCATATAGCCTCCATAGCATGCCAAAAAGTGGGGGTCTCCAGGGTCTTTGGGATCTTTTATGTGCTATTTTCTGATTGCATATAGACAACATAGCCGGCCTGGTTGAATTACCCCCATTTTTTGAACTGGGTTAATCAGAAAACAGCCGAAGACCACCAAACCCCTAGTTCTATAAGCCTGCTATGGAGGCAACTGTGCATAGCACTTTGGCAGAATGTCTCGTTTAAGGTCTTATTTCTGTGTTTTAGGATTAGCCAGGGTACCATCCAGATTTTCAATCTGTTGCAGAGCGAAAATTCGGATGGTACCCAGGCTATTTTAGGACGACATCCCATCTGTAGTTTTTGCATGTGGTGTCAGAAAAGCTATTGGCTGCAATGGGCAAAATTGTTATCTAACGATGACCAAACAGTCAATGAAACCTGTGAAAAGTCTGGCTTTTGCGCAGGCGCAGTACGTTCTGCCAACACTCTGTAAATGGCACGGTCACCCTAGACCCCAAAAATCAAACTACAAACATGCATGCAAACGACAAATCACTTTGAATTTCTAATCCAATCTGTGAATAACTTTAATTGTATCATTGCAAATATCAGAGCAAAGAAAGTATACCTGCCTTTTAGATAGAATTTAGATTTGCCAAAAGTGAAATTGTAGTTTGACGGTAAAGAGATGCAAATCCAAAGTGTTCAAACTTTCTTAAGTAAGTATACGCCGACATTCTTTTGTATACATGTACTTTACAACCATTGTATGCAATAAAGTAGAATAAGATGTATGAGTTAAATAGTTACACATTGCTCTGTATTTCTTGTGCTATGTGTATGCCACTTTTGGCTGGTGATAAAAAATGTGTTGATGTAAAATTCATGCAGTCATTACGTACGTAAGGCCTCAATTTCATATCAGTGAAATCTTTAAATTTGTCGAAAAGGGCTTGAATATTGAACTACAAATGTATGTGGTTACCTGCCCTTTAAATCAACCAAGAATGTCCAAGATGCTATAATTGATATCCAGTGCCTAGAGTTACATGTACCTGCTTTTTATAGATAAGTGTAAAGTGTAGTAGAAAATGTTATATACAGGTAGATGCTCTTGTGCCTTAGAATGCAATCTTTGTACACTGCGAATAGGTATTTGGATGTTACCGGTATACATGCAAACTGTACCTTGTGGCCTTTGGTAGGAGGAAAGCTTTAGAGCATCAAGTGCAAAATTAAGTTCTGCTAAAGGGTTTTGAAGAAGACAACTGCAAACTAATGAATGTGTACTTACAGAATCAATCCATACTCCACAGTATACGCCTTGTATCCAAATAGAAAATGCCCTCAACATGTGCCTTTCTAGCTAGCTGCATGTAGAAGTTTAGATACATGATGTACATATGTGATATGCAGCAAATTGCCTTTGCACTGGCTTACAATGCAGAAGATGAAATATCCTGATCGCAATAGTTGAAAAATATTTCATAGCAACCAATGATAGGTAAATGTGTTTTTGTGTCTGTTCATGACAATAGTTAGGGTATATTTGTTATAACATGACACTTGTTTACACAGTCATAGGTGCTAGGCAGACTAACTTCGTTAACTTGTTAATTATTAACCCGTAAAGCCATCAAATAGTAGGTACAATATCAGAGAAGAATAGGTCAGGAGTTGGCATTTGAATCCTGGAGCACCAATTTGATTTCTTGGTTTTCAGACTTGAAGAATCATACTTAACTGGAAAATATATTGAAAGCAAGCCAGAGGACAAGGTTGATGCCTAGGTGAACTCAGTTTTTTGCAGTGAATTGAATACAGTCAAATTAAGTTTTTCCCCTCCAGCCCTCTGCATTTATGATGTCCGCTTGCTAAATTTTCACCTTAAAATGTCTGAGAACCAAAGAAATAAATTGGTGTGGCCATTGTTTAAATCTGTGAACAGTGTTAGTCTTGGTGCAGGCAACATTGCTATTTGCAACACTTGATTAATCGTCATACATACATAGGAGAAATAGACAAGGCTGGGTAACATTCAATGTCTTAGACTAGATCTGTGCCTTTTGAAACAGGCTCTTCCACGCTCAAAGAGATTATATCAGTAGTATGCTCTGCACTTTCAAAATCAACACTTTCAAATAATCAGGATCTTCCTATGGTGTAAGTTGTGAGGTAGGACCACCCTATTATTTGTATTTCTTCTGTCTTTTTTTTTCTCATTTTTTGCCCTGGTAATTTTAGCCGAAGTAGTCTTCTTTATCATTGACTGTGGAGTCATATCAGTTACATTCAACATAACTTGCCATGTGTGTATCATAGCTATGAAATATTATATGATGGTATATTACTTTACTATTTATTACAGCCATACAAGTATATCTATGCTATATTTGATATTGATAATTGTGAAACCTCCAATGCAAGAGCTGGTTGACTGAATGTTGGTCACGTGCTTGGGTAAAGCAATAAACGCTTTCCTGTTAAATTGACGTGTTTGTCATTATTGTTTTGATAGGTTAGGCCACACCAATTTAATTTCTTGGTTAACGGATTTTTCTAGAAAAGTAATGGAGCGGGCGGGCGGAAAAAAATAAAAACAGGCCTGGACATCCTATTATGGCCCAAAATGGTACGATATAGGAGCCATGAAGTCAACACACCATGCCAGGCTTGTTCAAAATTTAAACAATGAATTTTGAACTTTTAATGATACTATTGCATTGAAAGATGGAATAACTGTAACAACTAGGATGAAAAGGACTGTTCTCAACTGTCAAGGGCAAAATATGAGCATTTTGCAGTTGATTCTGAATTTTTATTTTTATTTGCAAATCAGAAAAAGAATGAAGCGGGCGAATCCGTTAACCAAGAAATTAAATTGGTGTGACCTTACGACATCTCACTTAAATTTATTCATTGTCTCAAAGGCAAATCTTGTGTCAGTGAGGGTGTATTGTTTTGGGTTAGTGGCTGGTCTGTATCTGTCCAGACAGATTAGGTTGACGTGATGGGAAGATTGACAGGCAGAATGATAGATCAAATGGTCAGACATATGAAATGGGGTGAACTTGAAAACTAGGTAGACAGCATGTGGGTGGGGAAGCTTAACGTGTAGACGGTAAGAGTGACAGGTCAAAAGGTCAGACATGGGGTGAACTTGGTAGGTTGACAGGACATGGGTGGGGAAGATTGAAAGGCAGAATGGAGGTTCGAAGGTCAGACACAGAAAATGGGGTGAACGTGGAGGTCATGAAACCCATAAGTACATGCAAGAAGTCTGAAATATCTGATTTCTTGTTGTGAAGGTATTTCAGCACCAAGGACAAATGCCACTGTTTTTCAGCACTTATGGTGGGGAGGGAGGCGGTTTGCTAGTGCCTTTTTGTCTTATCTGCTATGACTGCCGGTACGTAAGGGCAATATATCTCCTTCCCTGTACTGGCAAGGGTCTGTATGAATGACAGGAAGTCGCAATGTCAGGATAGAAACTAACGTTACCATGGCCAGAACATGTGAAGATATGACTGGAAACATCTGCATTCCATAGGTGATGGAAGACATTATGAGAAAGGTGACAGCATCCCTTCTTTCAAAGTGTTTGCTAATTCTGCATGGAAGAAGGGAGTATGTTTTACTAGCCTCTCCCAGGCTTCGGGAGACACGAAAGGCTGGACAGAGTAGAAATTGACCCAAAAGAGAGATAACATGCCGAGGGACTTGGTTCGCTAGAAAGTACATTTTGCCGCACTGTGTACTCTCCGGCATAATAGCTGTCTTTTGGGTCAATTTCTACTCTTTCTAGCCGCCTCCCGAAGCCTGGAAGGGGCTAGATAGAGGTCACATCTCATAAAGCCTAATAAAGCCCGCGTTCAAAATTTAATTTTTTTTTCCCGACACAACTTGCGGGTTTCAGTGACGTGTGGCAATCGAAACAAGATGGCGGCCTCACTCCTGAAGGACATCTCCAACGACTTTCTGGAGTGCCAGATCTGCTTGCAGTCCTTCCGGGAGCCCAAGATTCTCCCATGTCTGCACACATTTTGCAGGGAATGTCTTCTTGAGTACACAAAGGCCCACTGCATCGATGGCAACCACATAGAATGCCCAACATGCCGCATTAACTCACCACTTCCGGGTGGGACTGTGAACGGACTCAAGGATAACTTCTTCGTGAAAAGTTTGAACGATACCGTTAACCTTCACAAGACGCTCCGGTCGGACGAACAGAAGATCGTCTGTAGCAACCCTTATTGCGACTCAAAGGGACTTGCCACATCGCGGTGTCTGAACTGTGACGGACTGTTGTGTGGCGAGTGTGTGGCAGCTCATTTGCGTATCAAAGTGACACGAGACCACACGGTCATAGGTGAATGAAGACCTTTATTGTACATTTTTTTTACCCCATTAGGCTAAGCACAGATCACATTATACATATACGAATACATATTCATATAAATATACATATTACTATTACATGTACATGTATATATAAATGTCTAATGCATTCTAGTCTTTTCAACTTCTAGCTTCTCTGTAAATGTACGATGCTGTATGAGTAGTTAGATTTGGTTTCTTTACTTGTTAAGAATCCGCAGTGGGGAAATTTACATAAAACATGTCCGAAAAGTATGTGTCTATCACTGTTATATAAAGGACAATCTATGGTAAAATGTACTTCGTCCTCTACTATTACTCTTAGGGCTGGACGAGTTGAGGGGTGGAGGGCAGGCCGCCGAAAGTGTGCGGCGCGGACAGGGACACACTTGCAGCGAACACCCGGACGAGGTCACCAAGTTCTTCTGTGAGACCTGCCAGGTCCCCATGTGTCGCGACTGTGCGCTACTCAAGCACAGGGAGCATTCCTTTGCACATCTTAAGGACCACAGCGCATCGCTGAAGGCTGAACTGCAAACTAAGATCGATCAGGTCAAAGAAAAGGCAAGCGAATACCGCGCAACGTGCTATGACCTGCAAACTAAACTTGAAGAAGAGAAAGAGGCAGAAAGAGACATCGACCAACAGATAGTTGACGTAGCCACTGAGCTGAAAGAAACTATCATCTCGGAAATAGACACACAGAAGGCATCTCTCCAGGCAGAAAACAGAAAAATTTCTGCACTTCGGCAAAAGCTGTTGTCCTCTGAAAAAGACGGCACCGAAAGCAAGCTTGTCTCCCTTGAAAGCACCGTACAGTTTGCAGAGAAACTCCTGACGTATGGAAGTGACTACGAAATCACAGACGTTGGGTCTGATACGAAGGAACGACTCGAAACTCTGGGTGCGGAGGGCGTCCCAAGCATTAGACAAATGCCACCTCGAGCCTTCGCCAAAACCACTCAGATGCCATCCATCGAGTTAGGATCCCTTAAAGGAGGTAGGACTTCAAGTCTTTCTATCTAGAGTAGGAAGTAAGGACGGGGGGGGGGCATTGCACGCTTTTCATGAAATCTGCTTCCATTTGTCCTTATTGATCATGGAGAAGGGCTGAAAAAGTTTCCTGATAGATTTTTTTCTCAGATTATTTACGTTAATATACTTCCTTCTTACTGTTTACTTTTAAGATTTTTAAAAGATTTTTTACATCACTAGTCACTACAAATCCAGGGAATCGATGCCCATTGTCTTGCTTGCAAAGTCCAATAACCAAAGTTCAGCAACTATAGAAGTTATGTCGACTATAACTTGGAGCCTCCCAGCGTACCAATCGCCGATTAATTTGTTCCTTGTTAATTCCCCTCTTCATTTTTGCAGAGATTGAGTCGTGTGAACTCGCACTACCTTGTGGCCACCCATGCGGGGACAAGCATCTTAACCTAGGCCACTGCAGGACGACCTGTCTTGCTCAAATCAGGTTGAAATGTGGTCACCTAGTGGGCCTGTGTCACGAAGTTGGGAACGTGGATGTCAACAAGATAAGCTGTTCCAAAGGTCACGATGTAAGGGTTGTCAGTAAAAGTACATTTTTTACCACGCAGTTAACTGATAACGTTAATGATTATGCGAACTCCTCTACTTAGTCTAGCAAATAAGATTATTCAACAATTAACACTCGTCTCTTGTGAATTATTTGTTTGAACAAAGCTTAAAAGCAATGCAAAGTTGAAACCGATCATTTTGTGTTTACTATTATTACATGCACGATACATCGCTATTTTCAGATTTTTATACGAGGGTGGATCAAAAAGTTCTCGGCCTCACCTAGAAAACGTCGTGGCAGAAAAAAATTTCTTACACTATGTTTCAACATAGTCCCCTCTAACTGCAATGCACTTGGTCCAGTGATGTTCCGGGTTTGTTTTCCCCTTGTGGAAGAAGGTTGCATCTGGAGCCCCCAGATAGGGCTCACCCGCACTGATGACGTCATCATTACCATAAAAACGTTGACCACGTAAGTGGAACTTCAGTTTAGGAAATAGGTAGAAGTCCGAGGGTGCTAGGTCAGGTGAATTGGAAGGGTGGGGTTAGACTTCATAGCCAAATTCGTTTGCTGCTGTCACTGACCCCTGTGCTGTGTGGACAGGTGCATTGTCATCACGCCAGCTCGGTGCTTTCCTCTCCTTATCTCTTTGATCGTTGTCCTCAACTGTTGCTATTCTGTTAAATAGTACTCCCCATTGATGTTTTAACCTATTCACAGGTATTCAGTCATGATTACTCCCTTGCTGTCCCAGAAAACAGAGACAAAACCCCTGTCAACGGATGAAACTCGATAAAACTTCGTTGGGGGCCGGGAAACATTCTTCATTCATTGTTTGTTCTGTTGTTTTGATTTGGGGTGAAAGTGGTGAAACCATGTCTCATCTTGGGTGAAAATGTTTTGAGGTAATTGCATGGATTGGACTAAATTCGTTCCTTGAAATGTCCAGCTTGTTTAACTTTTGATGTTCAGAAAACATTCTAGGCACCCACCTTACAGACAGGTTGCTCATCCCCAGGATGTCTGACAAAACATTGTGAACAGAGCCACAACACAGGCTAAAGACTCTGCTACATGTTGGACAGTCTCACATCTGTCATTTACTACCATGTGATGGATGGCCTCAACTGGATTGTCCATGGTGCTGATTTGTGGCATCCTGACATATGTTCATCTTTGGTGCTCACCTTGCAGCGCTTGTAGCTAGCAACCCACTTCTTTATAGTTGAATAAGAAGGAGAGTCTTCACCAAGTGTCCTGACCATGTGTTCATGGATTTCCTTACGAGAAATCCCTTTTTATCGATATACATGATCACAGCACACGCTTCTGTTGCGGCCATTTTGTGATTTTGCCCTCACCCGCCCCATTTTCACGGGGCGTCACGTGCTAACTAATGAATATAGAAATTTGAATTTTTGTGTGCAGTGATGTAAGACATCATAGTATACAGTTATACTAAAGAATAGGAGTTTGCCCTTTATTTTCTGGGTGAGGCCGAGAACTTTTTGATCCACCCTCGTATGAACAAATTTACATAGTTTTTCATTTACATCGTAGTGCTTGGATGTCATAATATGTTTGAACAATTCTATTCAATAGTTATATCGTTGTTTGGGCGTCACGAATACAGCTCAGAAGTCGCCTACGTACAGTTGTCTTCT